CTGCCAATTATACATTCGCGTTAGATTCTAGCACAACGGACAGATAATATATAGATATGAAACTAATTTATCTAACTAATCAACGGACAGCTATGCAACCAAACCACCTGTATATATGCGAACTACCGAAAATACCTAACAATACATGAAATACACCCTAGACCTGACTCAACCCGACCCAATCTAGATATATGGCTGTATTTGGGGAATCAATTTTGTATGGCAAACAATCACTACTCTCACAGATGGTGGTTTTACCATTATCTACAACACCCACCATATTATTTACCAAATGAAACTCCAAGATGTGCACATTTTTTAAGAGGAAGAGATACATACTTGGAGTCACTTCCTGGTAACCAGGAGGAACTGAAAGCTGCAGCACCCTTTTCGTTCCTATCTGCCTCATCTTCTTCCTCATCGCTGCTTGGTGCGTTTTTCCCAAAGACCGCTGAGGTTTCTCCCACAATAACACTGGATAAAACAAGCCAGATTAATATCAGCAGTCGCAATGAGCAAAGCCAAAAAGAATGTAAGTGATCATCAGTATTAGAGGAATGTAACGCACTCTGATTCCACCAGTGATTCATTTCTTTGCTGGGCTCTTTGGCGGATCATCTTTGCGTATTGCGATAGAGGGCTTTTCCCTGCCTCCTTATCATTCTGAACAGAAAAAACCCCAAACGCAGAACAAGTATGTATAAGAAGCCTCGTTTACATGTTTTGCAATAATTTAGGAAATTTTCATATGAGAGTTTCAGACTCGTCACGTAAACTCGTAAATTCAAGTAGAATCAGGAGCAACGAGTTACTAAACCTCAAGGAATGATGCAGCAGCAGGCTCATTGGGTAGAAACTTAATCGACGCTCTCCTTTTGTTAACAAACTCTGAGTTAGCTTCAATCTGAAAAAGAAAACACCAAAAAACAATGAGAAAGAAATCACACAAGTCAATATAGTCGGTTCTTTTCTTGCAAGTAACACAAGTCAATATAGTTGGTTCTTTTCTTGCAAGTACAGTATACGCTACGTCTAAGCCCATTTCTCCTTTTTTTAAGGTACCTGGCTAATGAGTTGCTTCATTTCTTTCCTAAACCTCTCAGCTTTAGTGGACTTGTAAAAGCTACGCAGCCTTATGGTCGGAATAAACGATAGTTCAAAGAAAGCGACAGAATAGCTCCACTGAGACAAATGCTCCACAAGCTCCTCCACTACAGAGTAAACACATGCCTCCTGAAATGCTCTTGTCTTCACTGCCGGTTTACTTACCTAGAAAGAAAGAAAATAAAAACTTCAATACCAAAATGGTTGATATGCAGGATAAAATTTCATTCTAGTCTCTTCTTTAAATTCCCAACTAAGTAAGCTTTTACCTTGAGTAGCGTGCGTAAATCAACACCTTTGCCAACACCTCCAGTGGGAGGTCTATTGAGCTCTTTCATGTCTAACATGTCCATAAGAAGCATTGAGACGGGAATAAAGGTACCAGTCAAAGCAGCAATTCGGTTTAGCATACTAACACATCTTAGTCTAAGGGGAATATAGCGAGCAGTGGGAACAAGTCGCGCTACACCAGATATTATCTGGGCTAGTGGGTAAGCCACTGGTCTGAGTTCAGACTGAGAACTGTAGGCGCAAACAGCTCCGGTCCAAAGCTCAAGGCAATGGATGAATTTCCATTGATACACTTTCCGAAATGCTTCCTGTAAAAACAACCAAATGTAAATAAAAGTTAAACAAACTTTCACAACATGCAAGTGTTGACAAAAGAGCTCAACTTCTAAAGATTATTGAGAAGTACTTTTGTTTTCGTGTTGAGCGCTTCACGCAGAATCATTGCCAATTGCCTTATGAAGACAAATGCATGCTGATATGAAGCAGAGATATTCGTGCCGAGAAGCTCAATAACGCAGTTACCAAGAAATGAAATATGACGCAGTTTGACAGCATTAACAAACTGGCAATTCAACACATATGCTTTGTACATCCCCTTGATGCAGTCATCCACACAGTCAGTTCTGAGGCGTATGCACAAGTCTCTTAGGAAAACCAGGGAAACAACGGGGAGCGAGCCACTACCAGTTCCCCAGAAATGAAGTGCAACCTAAATCGAAGAAGAGCGATGAGCAAAAGACATGCATAAATAGGCTAAAAGTCCATACACACAACAGGAAACATGAACAGAATGGTATTTTACTTCCACACACCTTAATATATTTCCTTAGGAGGCTTGGGAAAGCAGATAGAAAGACCGCTGAGTGCTTTAGGCGACGCAAAGTAAACGATATCATTCCTGTGTCAGTCATCTGGTTCAGAACGTGCAGCGAATTCCCGAGATATGATTTGACCAAGTGATTATAGTTCTTCCAAGGCCTTGTGTTTGTCAGCTCCAGTATATTCTCTTTCATTCCTCCGGTTGTAGGAAACCTTAACAACTTACGAAGAATCCCGTCCATTTCACTCAGAACAAATATCATTATCTTATTGAACACAGCACTTGACATAACGCTGAACTTTGCAGATTGATCGTCTCCGGTATCATCACCATAGTGACAGGCAGTTCTATAAGCTCTCAAGATAGAACGCACTCCACCTAGCTTTGCGTCTTCTCGGATGGATTTGCACCATGAATCAACCATGGCTGCAGTAATCGTTTTCTGCTCGTTCTCTTTCTTTGTAATTTCCAGCTTTGGGGTTTCATCAACAACTTTTTCACTATCTTCCAATTCAGCATCAGCTTCATCCTACAAAACATAAACCCCGAAGATAAAAGCTTCGAACGCGGGGCGCAAAGTCAACGTATTCAATCTACTGACTCACCTCAAATTCGGTAGCATCAAACTTCAGAAGCTCCTGATCATGCTCTTTCATGTACTGATAAAAATCAGCTTGCTGCAGAAATCATCTGTAAGTTAGCATAAAACTAAAAAGTTTTTTTTTGTTTGAAACTTATAAAACTAAAAAAGTTTCCAACATATTATTACAATCACAAAAACCGACAATGTTACAAGATTGACTTACTGTTTCTTGAAGCCTCTTGAGCTGTTCCTCATGCTCTTCAGCTTCTGCTTTCTTAGATTTCATCCTCTTCTTCTCACGCTTCTTCTCGCTCATCTGATCCACTGATGTAACATCTACATCAGATAAACTGTTTATCAATCTCAAAATCCACAAAACCCCAATAAAGATTACAAAGAAAAAAAATCCTTTTTGTATCATAAAAATTGAACCTTTCGTACCCATTTCTTAATTCACCACTCCGGAAAATCCCCTGTAATTAGCACCATTGATAATCAGTTAAAAAGACAGAGAAACACACACACAAAAAAAAAAAAACCCAAATTGTCGAAATCAAACAGGAATCAAGGAAAGAAACAGTTTCCCTTTTTCTTGAATCGATAAATTGTAGTAACTTAGAACAAACATAATCAATCATCCATTGAACACAGACATAATTGACTATTCGCGAACACAGAATGGAAGAACAGAACAAGAAAACAGAGATCCCAAATTAGAGAAAACAGAGGCACGTACCCAG